ATACAGGTTGTAAAGGTATGGAGATAGGACAGATGCCCGGCATACACCTTTCCCAATTTTGAACCATGCAGTGTTGCCTTGCTCTGTTCTGATGACTGCCTCTTGGTCCAAGTACAGGTTTCTCATTAGCAGGATCAAGTGTTCTGGGATTCCCATTCTTCTCAGAGTTAGCCACAGTTTGTTATGATCCACACAGTCAAACGCCTTTGCATAATCAATGAAACACATGTAGACATTCCTCTGGTATTCTCTGCTTTCAGCTAAGATCCATATAACTTCAGCTACACTATCCCTAATACCCTAGTATCATTACGCCTTCTGAACTCAGCCTGGACTTCTGGCAGCTCTCTGCTGATGTGCTGTTCTAATTGTTTTTGGATAATCTTCAGTAGAATCTTGCTTGCATGTGAAATCAATGATATTGTTCTATAGTTTCCACACTCTTTTGGGTCACCCCTTTGGAATGGGAACAAATATAGATCTCTTCCAGTCAGCTGGCCAAGTGGTTGTTCTCCAGATTTCTTGACACAGCTTGTTGAGTACTTCCAGGGCAGCATCTGTTAGCTGAACTATGTCAATTGGTATACAATCTATTCCTGGGCCCCTGTTTTTTCCTATTTCTTTCAAAGCAGTTTGAACTTCTTCCTTCATCACCATAGGCTCTTGCTAATATGTTATTTCATGAAATTCTTCTGTATCTGCCAATCCCTTTCGATACAGTAACTCAGTATATTCTTTCCATCTTCTTTTAATCCTTTCTGGATCATTTAATATTCTGCCTAAAGTATCCTTGATTATAGCAACTCGAGGTTTGAATTTGTTCTTCAGTTCCTTGAGCTTAACAAATGCTGAGCAAGTTCATCCCTTTTGATTTTCTGACTCCAGCTCCTTGCAGATTTAATTGTAATATTTTACTTCGTCATCCAATGCTGCCCTTTGGAATCCTCTGTTCAGCTCTTTAGTATCTTGAATTCTTCCATGTGCTTTGGCATCTCTGCACTCCAGTACAATCTTCAGAGTTTCTTCAGACATCCATTTTGGTCTTTTTTTCTCTTCAGTCTTTGTAATGACCAAAAACCAAACAGGTTTGTCCTAGAGAGGGTGAAGCCAGCTTACTCCTTGGAGGCAAGGATTCTGATGCTTCTTCTGACATACTTTGGGTTTGATGCAAGGAGGGACATCATGTTTGGAAGGGTGGATAGACAGAGAAAGAGAGAGAGAGAGGGAGATCATCAGTGAGATAAGTGTGTCAGAGACAGTAAAGTTTGCACAGGGTAGAGTAGATTTCAGGTCTGCTGTACATATAGAGTCGCTAGGAGTGAAAAGCGACTCAACAGCACATAACAACAACAACAACATGATTTTGTACAAATCTCTGTTTGTGTCTTAGTTCTAATTTTTTTGGCATATATTCCTAGTAGTGGAATAGCTGGGCCATATAGAGTTTTTAAGTTCAATTTTTTTAAGAAATGCCAAACTGTCTTCCAGAGTGGCTGCACCATTTTACAATCCCACCAACAGTATAAGAGAGTTCCCACTTCTCCACATCCTCTCCAAATATTTATTGTTTGCTACCCTACTAAATTTTGCCCTGTTACTGGGAAGAGATGGTATCTCATTGTGATTTTTATTTGCATCTCTCATATTGCCGGTTATTTTGAGCATTTCTTCATGTGTCTGCAGTCTCTTAAGGACCAATATTGCATAAGACCATTATTATAACAATAGAAGAATAACTATTAAAACATTTATGGGAACTCAAGAGAGGCAGACAGGTAGGAATGGAGGGGTGAGGATAAGTAGGGGTGAAACCACAGAGTTGCACAGGTTGGTGGATGGAGGGAGGGGGGTAAAGAAAGGGGAAAGATCTAGACAAAAAGACAAGATAATTATGGACATACTGGGGTGTCAAATGCCATAACTGTTACCCATGGTGGACAGCATTTGGTGGAGCTCCCAGTTTAAGGCAAGTATGGAAGTAGGAGTGTCATCCAATTCCTAAACAACATGCCTCTGGAAACTATGAACTTTGATATATGTCCATAGTTATTGAAAGACTTCACGCCTTTTTTTCATAGGGTTGCCATGAGTTATGCTTGACTTGAAGGCAACCAACAACAACAATGATGGGCAAGATCCAATGGAGATTGATTTTATGAAACATAATGCATGAGAATTATTGTATGAAACATAGTGTGAATGAAGAATAGTGTGAAATGCAATGTATACTGAAGTTTGTAAGCAAACCAATAATAATGCTTAAAAAAACAAAAACAAACAAAAAAACACACCTATGATGGGAGCTCTGGTGGTCTAGTGGTAAGAAGCTTGGCTGCAATCCCAAGGGCATGTGAACTGAATTCTCCAGCTGCTCTGAGGGAGAACAATGAGGAATCACCTCTTGCTTTTGAAAACCCTTTGGAGGGTTAGCAATGAGTTGGTTCTGATTCAATGACACACAATGACGGCAATATGATAAGGTTTTAGGTGATTTAGAAATAAGTGATTCAGAGAGTATGTGTAGTCATATACTGTCAGTTTTCTTTTTCCAGTTGTGACTATCATTTCGGAGTCTGTGCTTTCCATTTTCATTTAAGTTGTGCTCAAATTTTATATTGTATAAAACAGAATTGAGCATAATCTTCAATTGTGCTTAACTGAGGAAAAAATGGAAAAATACAATTAAGATCCTACTTAAAGCTCTATTTCTATTTGTTGTCATGATTCTCGGAAATATAAGCTCTGTTCTCCAAACTCTTTTTGTAAATTATAAAAGGAGTGTCTTCCGGTCTAATCAACATTCCAGTTTAATTTAGCTGAATCCTATCTTAGGAAGAATATTTCAAATAGATTCCCAAAAAATAACTGTCCAAAACAATCACCCTAAATATTAAGGCTAGAAACTAAAGAAAACCCCCAAATGAGGGCAAAGATGTGAAGAATCTATTCTCTAACTTAGAGGATTTCTATTTTGTTAACTTGTCCCTATCAAGATACTTCAGCCAGAGGAGTTGGGTAATTGATGGAAATGAAGACTGGATCAGCCAGTGTCTCTCTTTTTTTAAATATAATCTTGATTAGGAGCCAGTGTGAACTGACGTTACATGTAGATATTTCAGGGAGGCCTGTAATGGGAAGTTGAGTGATTTTTCCTAACATCAAGAAAGCGAAAAATTCTCCATTATACCAATAAGCAACAATTTTATTCTACTTGAATTCATAATCAATACCTATGGTTATAGAAGCCAAGAAATAAAAACATGTGTTGCATTGGGGAAACTAACCTCTCTCCAAAGTGCTAAAGAAGAAAGATGTTAAAGACCAACACATGCCTGACCCAAGCAAATTTTGTTTCCATTCATCTAAAAGGTGCATAATGAATCAGGATGACAGAAAAAAATTTTTTTTAAACTACACAATGTGGTGTTACAGACGAATACTGAATATCTCATGGACTATCAAAATAAACATATTTCTTTTGGAAGAAGAACAGCCACATTGTCTTTTAGAGGCAATGATGGAGAACCTTCTTCTCACATACTTTGGCCAGGTTGTCAGGAGAAGGAAAAGGCAACATTCTGGGAAGAAGTGAGAGTCAGAAAAGGAGTGTAAGACTCTCAATAAAGTGGATTGACGTAGTGACTACAACTGGTTCAATGTAGTCAGAGATTGTGAGGATAGCATAAGATTCAAACTGTTGTTCAGAGAGTTGCTATGAGTTATAGTCTACTCCACATCACATAACAACAATCACTCATAGAATGCACACTCCAGATTTTTTTTTCTTGCTGTCTTGTAGGCTACCTGTTGCAGTGCTAACTGAAAGTTCGTTGGTGTGAATACACACATCATTTTTTGGGAGAAAGTTGAAGTAAACTTCTATTAACATTTTCTGTCTCAGAAACCTGATAAAGAAGTTGTCTTAAGTTTAAACTGTTTCAGTAGAAGTAAGACTATTATTTTAGTTAGTTTGTTTAACTGTGTAAAGGAGTCTTGGAGTAACAGTTAAGGGCTCAGCTGCAAACTAAAACATTGATGGTTTGAAATCACCAGCAGTGTTTTGGAAATAAAGACCTGAATATCTGCTCCCATTTGAGGTCAATATAATTAAAAATCACTCAACCACAGATACAACAGAAACTATATAAGCATCATAAATTGGTAGAACTATTGCACATATAACCTAAATCTTCTTTGTAAGACTGGTGGACTTGCTTTATAAATATAGGCACTTGACCAATGAGACCAAAATCATTGATTGGCTAATGGAATTATTTCTACATTATTGTAAAACCATTTGATTAAAATAACCTCAAACCAAGTATCTGATAATTATCAAACTGAGTCCTTGGAGGGGGCAGATAGAGAGAGACCTGTGGAAAGTCACCAGTTTAGAGCAAGTGAGTGAACCCAGCATCCTGAGAAATCAACCTGAATTCAGGAAAAAGGATAAACGGAATGAAATTTTTACGCATTTATCTCTTTCTATACATAATGTGATTCATCTTTCCATTCCAATTTCCACTGCTTTCTTTTGGTCTTTAGAGGATCTGGACTGGGACATCGGATTTTATAGATTGTTTTTCTTTAATATTTCTAGTTCATAACCAAGTAGATGATTTTTTAAAATGTGCAGACTAAACAAAAAGGGAAAAATAGGAAATTGAATTCCTTCTCTATTTTGTATTTTAACAAATCAAAATTCAAATTCTCATGCACAGCTTTACATGGAAATTACAAAAGTGCTCTGCAGTAGTTACCTGCCTTAAAAATTAGTATCTGATATTTTGAGAGGAATAAGGTTGTTACTACAAAGATAATTAAGACTTTTTGCCTTACAAGACAATTAGAAGACTCCCATTCTTTGCCAGTAGTCATCAATAGTACAAGACAGAAGTAATTTATTGAACACTAAATATTTGAACCCATAAATCTAAAACAAGGCTATTCTACATCAACTAATCTGATATACTAAAGGCAGAGATTCCTTATAAGAAGACATGGAAAGCCTATTGAATAATATATTTGTGATAATTTTTGCTGGACAGTTTATAATAGGAATTTTAGGAAATGGATTCATTGTGTTGGTTAACTGCATTGACTGGAGTAGAAGCAGGAAGTTCTGCATCATTGACTTCATTCTCACTTGTTTGGCTAGTTCTAGAATATTTCTTCTGTGCATAGCAGTTTGGGCTATTCGTTTTATTGAAAGCTATGAAAAAATATTACATAAAAATAGCTCAATGGTAAGTTTTGATTTAATCTGGACAGGAGTCAACTACTTCTGTGTTTCTTGTACCACCTGCCTCAGTGTCTTCTATTTCCTCAAGATAGCCAACTTCTCAAATCCTGCTTTCCTCTGGATGAAATGGAGAATTCACAAGGTGCTTCTCTTTCTTGCACTAGCAGCAAGTTTCTCTCTGTGTGTATGTCTGATTTTGAAGACTATTATGTTTAAAAGTTCGGCCATAGTTAAAACTGAAAGCAATTTGACATGGAATGTCACAGTGAGAACATATAGTACGTTAACTTGTTACCTATTTATTAACACAATGTTCAACATCCCCTTTGTAGTATCACTGATCTCCTGTTTCTTTTTAATCCTTTCCTTACGGAATCATACCAGAAGGATGAAGGGCATAGGTTCTAAGGACCTTAGCACAGAAGCCCATGTGAGTGCCATGAAGTCTATGATTTCATTCCTATTCCTCTTTGTCTTATACTATTTGAGCAATAACCTCGTAGCTTGGAATTACACTTTTCTAGAGAGGGTTGAAGCAAAGATAATTGTTGATATGACAGGATTCTTTTATCTATCTGGCCACCCATTTCTTCTTATTTTTTGGAACAGCAAGTTGAAGCAGACTTCTCTCTATGTCCTGAGAAATTTGAAGCATTGCATGAATAGGAAAAAACCCAGCATTTTCATAAACTTGCCTAAAAAGAGTGATAATATTGTCAAGAATGAAGATGCTGAATAGTAACTCATAAATATCCTTTTGAATTATGTTAACTTATTGTACTGTGTTCTGGGGTATGTTGTTAAGCCCAATTAAGATTATGTACTTAGAATACGCTGAAAAGAAAGGATGGTAATGTGCTTCTACCACAATAATGACAGTATTGTGATAGTAATTATTATAATATCAAAATAGGAAAATGAAAGCATGTGGATAGTATAATTTGTAAAGCACTATAGCAGACATATTCACTTTGTCTCACTTAATTTCCATTTTATTTACACATATACACAAACTCATCAGCAGTTTGAGTTTAGTAGTTGCACCTTTGGAGAAAGAAATGCAGCCTCCCTTCTTCTGTAAAGATTAACAGGCTCCAAAACCTGTCCTGTCCTATCTTACACCATCCTCATAAACTCTGACACACTAGAGCTCTTTGCTTAAGTATTGTGTCAATACATCTCATTGGGGGAGAGGGTTCTTTCTCACCTTTATTAGCCCTCTATCTTTCCAAGCAGGATGTCCTTTGTTAAGAAATGGATTCACCTAGATACATGACTGAAGTATGAAAAACAAAGCTTTCCTATCTTTGCCTCCAAGGAGCAATCTCGCTTCACTTTTTTCAAGATATGTTTGTTCTTTGGGCAGTCCATGGGATAGTCAATACTCTTCTCCAGCACCACAGTTTGGAGGCATCAATTCTTCTTCTATCATCCTTATTCTTTATCCAGCTTTATTGTGTAGCAGATGATAGAGAAGACCATGGCCTGGATCAGGTGCACCTTAGTCTCTAAACTGACATCATTGATTTTCGGTACTCTGGAAAGGTCCTTTACAGCAGATTTATCTAATGCAATTCATCTTTTGATTTCCTGACACTGCAGGTGCCAAGAAAGTTGATTGTAGAGTTGAGCAAGCTGTTACTGTTAATAACCTCAATCTCTTCTCCATCCAAAGAAATATTAGATTTTTTTTTGTCCTCTGTGTTTGTGGAATGAATCATTCAACATTAGACAAATAAAAAATAAAGGGGGATCTACTTTGCAGTATATAAGGAAAGGAAGTATCAACAATACCTTATTCACTTACTATATTAACTCTAACTCAACATATAGAATTCTTATGAGCTATGCATTCTTCCTCTGAATGCATTTGATTGATAAAATATGTGATTATGTGATAATAAATCTTCTCTTAGATTACATCTCATTTTAGTGAATCTTGTAGTGAATTGTAGTTAGAATTGTTCTTAGAGACATAAGTCTCATGTTTGAATTAGCCTCAGAGAATAATCAAAATTGGTAAGGTGCTCTTTTCCCTAATTCTTTTACAAATTTATGCCATCAAGAACTATGTTTTATGGACTTATTTCCCTCAGCTTATTTATGTCATAATTGGAAATTATTTTTGTTGTTAGTCTATTTCTTCCAAGAAATTATATAAAGAAGTGAGGTAGAGAGAATGTCTAGTTATGTTTAATTTAATTTAATTATATTGAAAATCTTCTTGTCTACTTCAAATGATTAAACGGATATCCTTCTGATATTGAATAAAGACAAAAATATATACAATAGGTAATTATAAACATAATCATAGCTTTGTAAGCATTTTCCCCAAAGGAAAATAATATTAAGAAGATTCTTTCTAAAACTTCCCCTACACTCACAATGGCTTCTCTGTATTTCCTAGTTCCCCTATTCTTTCAATTATATGGGGAAAAGTAACTTTTTTTCCCCTACAGGAGACTTTTAAGAAAATAAGAGTTCCTTTTTTCTCACATTAAATTTTGATTGTTTATATCTTATTCAAAGACTTGGAAATAAATAAATAAATAAAGTGCTTAAAGGTTAGTGAAAGTTATATAAAAACTTTTCCTCTTTACAGAGGAAACAGTTTCCTTGGAAAATACTGAGTTTGGATGCATACATAAATACATTGGATACAAACATACATACATTGGATACCCATTAAATTTTTTAATATTTTAAACTATCTGACTTCGTACTGCAATTGACATTGTGAATGCTTTGTAATTAATCAGTAGTACTGGGAAATCTAGTTTTACTTACATGATTAAGTATTTTACTCTATGAAACCTTGGTATTTGAATTCCTGTTTTGCAGTTCAAATTTGTAAATCAAATGATATAGTTCTTTGGAAGAAGAAAGATTATGAAAAATATAAAATATAATCTATACCTTTATTTACATATTAACAAATGAGAACCTGGTCTTTGAACCACCTGGCAAGGTGTGCAACATATTTATAGTTGTCATCTGAACTAAGACTAGAAAATTCTCAAGAAAGCTGGTTGGAAATTTTCAGTGATTGCTATCTAGAGGGTACCTCCACAATTTTTTCACAGATTGTTGAGTTTATACATTAAAAGAAGAATCACAATAAAACAAGAAGAATACTGCACAATCAAACATAAGATCTGTACCACTATCTAGTAAGTCATCCGGAAATCATTTGGTCAACAAATCACAGATCAGAATTCTCTCTTTTCAGATATGTTGAGAACATTGGAGTATGTTTCCATAATTGTCACAGGTGGGGAAATGATAATAGGAATTTTAGGAAATGGATTCATTGGACTCACAATCTGCAACACCTGCATTAAAAATCGGAAGTTGCTTTTGTTTGACTTGATTCTTACTAGTTTGGCCTTCTCCAGAATCATCCTATTATGGCTAATGATTGGCAATATGCTTTCAGTAGTAATCTACTTGGAATCCTTTAATGTTGGTCAATGGAATTATTTTCTTACATGTAGCTGGTTCTTGACCAACCATGTGAACACATGGCTTACTACATGTCTTATTGTCTTTTATTTTCTAAAGATTGCCAACTTTTCCTATCCCTTTTTCCTTTGGCTAAAATGGAGACTTAGCAAGGTGATTTTCTTGCTTCTGCTGTTTTCTGTACTCTTCTTCTTCATGATCTTTCCTTTTCCATGTAGTTTAGAAACTCACGGGCTTATTACTCATCCTGAATATCAAGGAAATATGACTGGGTTACTTCGTGTGAGTAAAAACAAAACCTTACATTATATGGTTCTATTAATGGTTGGATCCCTACCCCCTTTCTCTATTTCCTTACTTAGTTTTTTCTTGTTAATCCTTTCCTTGTGGAGACACAAAAAGAATATGAAACTCAGTGACAAGAATTCCAACGATCCAAAAACAAAGGCCCATTTCAGAGCAATGAAAACTGTCTTTTCCTTTCTTGTGCTTTTTACCATAAACTTGTTTGCATTTTACATGTCATTTTGGGGTTATTTTTCACTAATGAATAATCTGGCTATTGTGATGTTTGTTTTTATAACAGGAACTCTATATTACTCATGTCACGCTTATGTTCTGATTTGGGGGAATAATAAAATGAGGAAAGCTTTCTTGAGGATAGTTTGGCATCTGAAACACAGCCTAAATGGAAAGATATTGCCAACTAAATAGACTTGTAAGAATATTGTCTTCTCTCTGAGAGAGAAGTTGACGAGTAGTCTTCCTTTCTTCATGGGTTTCTTCCTTTCGTGTGTGGACCATGTCTCATCATTTAAATTGTTCTGTCATCGAATAACAATAATCAATTAATTGTATTTTTTTAAAAAAAGTAGAAGCATCACCTGTATGAGCAAGTAGAACGTTTGTATTTGTAAAAAGTTGTGGATTTCTCTACAGTAAAAAAGAGAATAGCCACACATAAGATTAAATACTTAGGAACAAATCTAACCAGAAACACAAAAGACTTCCATAAAGAAAACTACAAACCACCACTACAAGAAACAAAACTAGATCTATATAAGGAGAAGAATAACCAGGCTGATGGAAGTTCTCCAAAAGGATAAAAAGAGAGCATACAGACTGAGGAAAAACTTCATCAATGCTTATCTAAAATTTACAGAAAATTCTAGCACCTCAATAAGAAAAAGATGAACAATCCAATTACAAAATGGGCAGAAAATATTATAAACCTTCACCAAATAAGATATTCCAATTGCTACTAAATGCATGAAGAAATACTCATGATCACTAGCTATTAAAGAGATAAGAATCAAAATAATGAGTTCATTGTTTTACAATGCTACATAATATTCCATTGTACAATGAATGTACTACAGCTTTTCTATCCATTCATTTGTTGGTGGGAAATTGGGCTGCTTCCTTCTCTTTGCTACTGTGAGTAACATATCAATAAACATGGTTGTGCTTATATCTATTTGAGTTGTGCCTCTGGTTTCTTAGGATATAGTCCCAGTAGTGGTGTGGTTATTGCTGTGTACCATAGTCAAATTGGAACTGATCTATATCTGACCTTCCAGCAGGTTTTCAGAGGCAATTAATTGCATGGGAGAAGACTGACCATTTTCTCACATAGAACAGCTGATAGATTAGAACCAGGTGCCTTTGTGTTTGCTGTGCTTCTTCTTACCACTAGGCCATCAGAGACTACGGAGTCAAATGGTATTTCTACTTCTTCCAACTTTTTGAGAAAGTGCCAAACAGCCTTCCAAAGTGTTTGTACCATATTATATTCTCATTAACAATGAATAAGAGTTCCAATCTCTCTACAACCTCCCCAGTATTTGTTGCTTATTGCCGTGTTAAATTTTGCTATTGTTGCTGAGCAACTGAGTATGGAAATACAAAGGAAGAGAAACAGTTGTAAGCAGACACTAATGATTGGAACATGGAATATGAAAACCATGAATGTAGGAAAATTATATATTGATAAGGAAGACATGGAACACATAAATATGACATATTAGGCATTGGTGAGATGAGATGGATCGGCATGGGGCATTTTGAGTCAGATGATCATATGATATATTACTCTGGAGATGAAAAGGTGAGGAAAAATGGGGTTGCTTTCATAGTTAGAAAAGCCATTTCTAGATCCATCTTGAAGTACGATATCGTGAGTGACAGAATAATATCCATACACATACAAGGAAGTCCAGTGAATTCCACTATCATTCAGATATGTGCACCAACAACCAGAGCCAAAGAAGAGGAAAT